CTGTATGATGATGCTGACCTTGAGCTGCATGTTGAAGAGTGGAGGGATAGAGTTGGGGAAAGGACAGATGGTTGTGTGGGAGACAGAATGAAAATGAGTCAGTCAGGAGTGACCAACAATCAGGAATGATGTTTGGAGCAATGCTGTGGGCTGCAGGAGTCAGGGATACAAGTCCATGATCTCATGCCTGGAAGGTCAGTGCTCAAATCTGTAGAAGCATCAAATGTAGGTCAGTGAGCTGGGACTGTAAATGAGTGCAAGTGTAAGCCTGACGCACAGATATAGGCCTGACATAGAGATAAAGGTTTTATTCCTAAGAGTAATGCAACAACCCAAATCTTTCTACTTTGCTGCTGTGAATTAGGGTGTTTTCTGCTGTATAAATGCAAGCCTGTTTCTCAGCAGGCAATGGAAAGACTACAGCTTCATTGTTCAGGTGATGTACTGGCATCCCCAGATTAAAACCATGGTTTTACAGCACAGTTGTATTCCAGATTCCATCTGACTTGTAATGAATCCTGATTATCATCAGACTAGTTACAGCACTTGTGTCAGGCTGAGCTCAACAGTATCATCTGCATGTCCGCTGCTAGGTATGTGCTGAAGTGTTTTATGCAGTCAGGACCTTTATATCTTTGTTTTTAGGTCAAACATCTCATTTTAGCTGAGTGTCTTACCGTTGCCTTCCACCTCTACCCTTGCATATATGTACAATATAAGTCTGATACTCAGTAAAATGGATGCCACCTATAGTTGAATTTAACTGCAGTGAAATCAAGGCAATAGCAAAATAAACTTCTCTGGATTTGAGTGATTAGAGCCCTTTATATCAGGGTAAGATAAAGACCCTATGTGCAGCCTCTTACTTCCAAGTGATGGGAGAGGCTTAATCCATCCCTTTTTGCATCAAATTCAACTAGAAGAAACTGTAGGACCCAGAGAGGCTTTGCTGTGGAAGACATGCAGGAGGCAGATACCAAAGCCTGTCTCTACAGTCTGTGTCAGCCATGACCACTTTGATTTGAAAGTTTTCTCCTTGTCAAGGGCAGATTCTTCAGATTTATGCTCTGTTCAGAGATCCCTGCAGTCAGTGCTGCCCTGTGCAGGTGTTAATACTGACATTAGTCTGGGAGGTTTCCTTCGTTGCTCAGCAATGCTGTATCTTTCTGACGCACCCATTAAATTAACAGCTTCCTCTAACTGAGCTGGAGGTTAACAGGATGTCAGGACATAAAACAAATTTTCTTAATGTCAGTGCAGAGCCTTTGTTGTCCCTATTAGTCACAGTGCCAAGACAAAAAGGTGTTTCTGCTCACAGGGGATCCCATCCCCAAACCGGTGTAACTGGTCAACACCCTTCCACTGATTCCCGTGGCTTTGGGGTCAGCCCTCGAGCATGGAACAGTTTGACCCTCCTGATTAATGCAGAAATCATATTTGGAAAAGATCTGTGTAAAGCTGACTCAATGTTGGGTGGTTTTTCCTTGTGTTTATAGTTATTGAGACGTTTAACACTGGTAATTATTAAATAGGGTCACCTGGAAAGACACAAGCACTCCAGCTTTTGCCAACAAACCACTTAAGCACCTGCTTAGAGATAAGCACATATATTAAGGTAAATGGAGTTGCTCCTAGGCTTGGCGTTGAGCAGATGTTTACAGTTCATAGATTAGGAGAAACTCCTTGCTTGAAATCATCATTTTTACCCTTAATGAGCAGAAATTAGATTCTAGCATGAGAAATAATTTTCATTAAACAAAAAATGAAAAACTGTCCCCTTGCTGAACTGTCTGGAGTAAGGTAAAAATAAGGTTTAAACTTGTAAATCCTTAGAGCAATGCCATTTGTCAGGAAGCAGCAAGGTGCATGTACAGCAATTATTGGAGGTGCACTTCAAAAATCTTTGCTGGAGCTTATAATATCCAGGTTTGGAATTACAGACCTGCTTTGGATGTTACAAAACAATTTTTGTAGAGACGACTCTCACACTAAAACATGCCTGACCTTCTCCTGCCAGGAATACTGTGGGAGTGTGCAAAAGCTGAGGTGAAAAGAGCTCCTGGGTTGGTATACGTCCCAAAAGAGGAAGATAAATGGTAAGAAACACCCTGAATTCCACTTCTCCCTTGATGCACCAGTGCTGTGCTGGATTATGTCAGCATCCAAAGAGAGGAAACATTTTTCCAGAGAAGTCCAGCACAAACTGAGAATTCCCATTAGGGCCACTGGGAAACTTTATAACCCTGGCCCTTTGCTTGGTGATTGACTGTTTCATAGGGTGGACTGTCCCCAGCTGGGGCATGGGTAGTGTGTGTTGGTGTGTCCCCCACAAGCAAAACTGATGCAAAGAGCAGGAAAATAAATTATTATCAGATCTTGGATGTGAATTCTCTTTAATATTAAAAATAGATAAGCTGTCTTTTTGGGAGGAAGGCAGAGGAGGGACGGGAAAGCAGGGAAGCACCGGTCCTGTGGTGGGTTGAGCAGCACTCCTGTCACAGGGATCTGCAGCATCAGCCTTTAAACCAACTCATTAAAATCTTGATTCGTGCTGTGCCCACGGTGATGGAGGAAAGAGCCTGCCCTGCTCCCACATGCACATTTTCAGGGCTAGAGCTGAAACATTTGGCAAGTGAGTGCACGAAGCTGAAGGTTACCTGTAGGCAGCTGTTGCTCAGCCTGTGGGTGTTTCTATGGCTATTTAATTGCATGTTGCTCAGTACTAAATGAGTGAGACTTACATGAATAACCACAGCAATGCAAGTGCTGCTGCCTCTGAGATAAAGGACCTTATTTGAGAAACAAATTCTTAACTAATAATACCGTGGGCCCTGTGCACTTTTAAAAGTCTGTACTTATCGCTGATAGGAAAGAAATGGTCTAGTTCTTAAAAATAAACCCAAAAGCATTTGAAGGATGTTCCCCCCCCATTTTTCTATTCTTTTCCCAGGTTGCAAAAATAACATCTAATAATGAAATGAAAACAAGCTGAATAGTTACATTCAGTGGAGGAGGGAAGAGGTAGTCGAAGACAGCTGGAGCATGTCTGGGCCAGTGTCTTGGTTCTTTTCTTTCTGCTAGTTCAGTGCCACTCCAAGAATGCAGACAATGCTGGCCACGACTGTTTCATATTTGATTTCCACACTTAAATCTGTGCTTGTTAAACAAAACCCCATTGTCAGGCTGGCACACATCCACGCTGCCTCCTTGGGTCCTGCTTCAGAGCTTGCTGTCTGGGCTTGAGGGTCCTGCTCGCATCCCTTCAGTGAGGATCAGGTATGCCAAGAGCATTTTGCTGGTTTTGCGCTGCTTGTGGCGTTGCAAAAAAAGCTTTTGGACTCTTCTTGCAGCCACATCCATGGATAACCCTCATAAATCTTGGTTTGAGGGCAGACAGAGTGCTGCAGGGAGGGGGTGGGGGTTTGGGACTGCCTCAGGAGTGGTGGATCAATGGGGCACTTGGCTGGAGTCGGTTTCTGGGCGAGGTATTGGCTGTGCCACCCGGGGAAGAAAACACTTGGACAAGCAGGGCCTGATTCTGCAGAGGACTGGTACCCTGCCCTGCTTAGGGAGAGGTGCAGCTGGGGATGATTTGGGTCTTGGTGAGGTCCCAGGGATGCTCTGCTGGAACAGGGCCATCGGGTTCAGCGTTTGCAGAGCTTTGCTGAACGTGGGCAGGAGAAATGTTGTGTGTTGGGAGCACCCGGACTGTGAGTAACAAAGTATCACTTGATATCTCCTGTAAAATACCAAGGAGAGCATGAAAATTATGAATCTTATTAATAAGATTAGGGAATTGTGAAATGCAAGAGCTGCTCAGTCCTTTAGACTGAAGACCCTTCTGGTTTTTCTCCCTCGATAAGATGGTTCCATGGTCCAGTACCTGCCTGTCTACCCCTTGTGCAGCGTAACTTATCAGTCAGTAAATACCAGTGCTGCCACTGCAGGCAGAGCTCTGCCCAAGGCAGTTGGCAGCCCTTTGTGGCACGAGAGGAGGGAGAGGGCATAGGATGTGGCTGTGGTACCGTGGGGTGCAATGCTGGAGCAGGAGGAAGCACTGGGAGTGTTTTGATTCTTCAGGTGTCCCAGAGGAGCCCACTACTGGGCTGTTGTCATGGAAACACCGGGTTTTTTTCTGCGATTCAAGACTGGCTCCAAATAAAGGTTAAAGGAAAGAAAAACTCCAAGGGACAGCATGCACAGAAGGTGAGATTTCCCTCAGCACAGCAAAATTTGTGAATGTCTGAACTAGGTGTGGGGGCTGGAGGAATGTTGGAGCTGGAAACTGATGCTATGCCTCATGCAGGAGCTGCTTGGGAGCATGGTGGTGGGCTCTGGCTCTGCTCTGGGTCACCCAAAGGCCTGTTTTTCCTCCTGCCCTCACCTCTCATCCTGCTGCACTGTCGAGGTGCTCCTGCCTAGGGCTCTACCTGGAGCAGAGATAACACATGCTGAATGGTGGTTATTTTTCACACTTCTCTTGCTGTTGAGGTCTGTGTTGGGATCAGTTCCATGTCTGTCTCGTATCTAGGTCTGTGCAGGTTTTGACAGCTCTGTGTGTTAGTGGCAGAGCAGCATTCAAGCCACAAGGAAGAGCAGAAAGGCAAATCTTCAGGTTCTGCTTTCTGTAATGACAAAAGCAAACTGTATAATTTCCATAAAATTTTGCCCAGCCTTTAAATTCAGAGGCCCAGGCTACACATGAAAAGGTATGTCCCTTTAGGTAAAACAGCACTGGCCAAATTACTGGTTCATAAAGTCATCTAATGTAACGAACCACATGGCTTCAGCAGCACTACTGATCCCCGTGGGAGTGCATTCAGGACCTGCCTGTCCTTGCCCAGTCACCCTCCTGGCAATCCACCTTCACAACTGTGACTGATGCTCATGTTTAAATGTCCAAATTGCAGCAGATTCGCAAAAGTCATCACAAAACCCAAATCTGCACAGAATACAACCAGACTCAAGCACGGGTCCAGTATTTTCAAGGTGAGGGGGTATCACTCATACCACAATGAGTCTTTGCAGAGGTTTGGGAAGTCAGCACAGGGGAAGGGGAACAGAACTGCAACCCAGGCAGCTGGTCCCAGTGATCCCAGCCAGCGAGCAGTAGCAGGATGGGCCAAGGAACAAAGATGCAACGGCAGCAGAAAATTGCACTGAGGTGCCTGTGATGCTCAGGATGTTGAAGGCAAAACTGGCCTCCCCCTGAAATGGAGACAAAAGCATTTTATCACTTTTATGACCTGCTGAGTGATTATTTATTTAAAAAAAAAAAGCCTTTAAAACTAAAGGGCTTAATATTTTTGTATTTCTTCATTTCCAACTTGGATAAACCCCTCTTTTTTTATATATTTAATCTCCTTTATTCTGTGTCCAAAAAAGGATGTGATGGTAAGGGAAATTAGTAGCTTGAATGTCATGAACTTATTAAAGAGAAATGCAGATTTTTATTTCTTTTACAAGAAAGACAAAACCCATTGAAACCATATTTTAATAAGAATACTAGAAGAATAAATTGGAACAGGTATACTTATACAGTTTGTCATATAGTATTTAAGTACAATGGGTGGCCTTTAAAATTTAAACTGCGTAGTTGAATGCTTAAAAAATTCCTCACAGAGAATGTGATAGGAAGTGGCAGAATGACTGTGCTGGTGGGACATCTAATGTGCACCCTTGGTGAGCCCTGCACAGCACATTTGACCCACAATATCAACAAGAGAAGTGCTTTTCTCTTTGATTGCATTGTCCAGGTTAACTCCGCTGCTCCCTTGCTCCCACCTGCATGTGACACCATACAGACTCCTAGACTTGCCATCCTGCCTGGTGGCACCACCTACTCTTGCCCTCAGCAGGATTTTGGCCTGGTTGAGCTCAGCTCTGAGGTAGGTGGGTGAAAAGCTTTGCTGGATGCTCAGCTGCCCTGGCTCTTGTGCCTCCTCCTTGTCTCGGCACATCCCTGCCCCAGAGGGCTTTGCTATGGAGCCAGCTCCATCTTTTGTGCCAGCTGAGAGGCTTTTCCATGCTGGGGGAAGCCTTAGAAGAGCTTTTAGGAGTAATTTAAATTTCCTTTGATCCAAAATCTCTGCAGGTAAAGAACTAATGCTATTAGAGCAGGCAATAACTGGTTGCTGTGCTGGAGCCTCCCGGGGAGCAGAATGGGCTCTTCTCTACCAGGCTGGAATAATTGTTCCATGTTCCTCCCCTGTCCAGTACACAGAGAGGGGCTTCAAAAGGGATTGGACTGTGCAGAGTAAAGTCAGGACCATGGTCCTACTGGAATGCACTCAAGGCCAGCTGGGAGTGTCCTGGAGGAAAGGCTAAAATTCACCTTTTGTGGAGTCAGGCACGATATCACATCTTTACTGTGCACAGCATGCTCACAGATGATGTTTAGTGTTGGCTGCCAAAAGGCCACTGAAAAGTGTTCTGTGCATCTCCTTCATTTGCTATTCCATGCTCCTGAATGTCCTGACACTGAAGTACTTCAGGGCACTTGTAGAGACCTGGCCATCCCCAACAGGACACCATGCACACCACCACGCTGGCACTGACCACCACAGCACACCAGCTTTCACTGGGATTCTCATGCTGACAAATGGGGAGCAGGGAAGAAATTCAGGATGCCACAAATGGGAGTGCCTGAAGAAAATCCAGGCAGTGCAGAAGTTTAAGGTTATTTTAATGTCTGCTTCATGCTGCTTTTATCACTCTGGACAAGGAATGAGTTTGGGGTTGGTTATCCTTCCCAAGTGCTGCCAAAGGCACAGCAGACCTTGTGTTATTCAGTCAGGTCCAAATCAGGGCAGCATCCCTGCCCTTATTTAGGAACCAGTTTTGCCTGGGGGGTGTTATCTGTGACACACACAAGCACAAGTTCATTCATTTGAATACGCCAGCACTAATTCTGCCTTGCAGGCTGGAATCTTTTTTCCCAGTGTAAGCATCTTGGACCCACATGTATCTGTGCTCCTGGCTTCAGGGTGGTGAATGGAAAGAAGAGCTGAACTTGTGCTAAAGGCAAAATCTGTGTCTGAGAACAGAAAATAACACAATCTGGGCTGTAATTTCTGGTGCAACGTAGCACACTGTATCAACACAGCTCCACAACCTTAAGCAACAGTGTCCTGTGGTTTGATTTCCATTCTGGCATGCTAAAATGCAGTAAGACCCATTTTTTTGTGGCAATTTCCATTTTTTATTTAGGGAATTTGAAAAATACTTGTCCTGAGGCTGAGCCTCAAGTTATGATCTTGGCATATCCATACCATTAAATTCCCGTGGATAAAAGCAGAAACATCTGGATTCATGAGTGGATGTTGGCTAAATCCACCAGAAAAAAAAAAAAAAGCCTTCAGGGGATCCTAGAGGGTTCTGGCCAGGATAAATAATACAAGAAAACAAGAGTGCTAGTAAGAGTAATTGTAACACTGAAGCCAAATTACAAGATGACGGCCAAGCCCTTTTCACAATCTGCTTTTCCAGGGAAGAGCCCTTCAATTTACACTTAACACACATGTGGCTGATGGAACAAAGGAAAAGTTGAAGGAGGATGAAAGCAGTGCAGAGATTATTCAGCCTTGCTGGTTTAGCTCCAGGCACATCGTTTAAATGAGTAGATGATCAGTTTCCAGTTTGTTTTAAATTTTCTGGCAAGAAATTTTATGCTCTATCCCAAAGTTGGATATGCTTAAAACTCTTTGTGTTTTTATTTTAAGGATCTGCCATTTTGTTTTTATTTCTTAAGGCGAGACTCTGGAAGTGCTCTGCAGGAGACACCTGAGTGCTGAGACTGGAGGAGCAGCCTGGTTATGTCCCTGAGGGGGCCTTGTCCCTGTTCCCAGCTCCCTGGGGACCCTGGGATTGGGGAACATTTACTCCTGTTCCCCCCATCTCTTGGAGGCTGAGCCCTGCCTGGTTAAGCCATATGCTACACCTGAGCTCCACAGCACCCAAAGCCAAGGGAAGTGGCCAAAACTGTTGTCCCACATAAACCTGCAGCCTCTTTGGCTGCACTCTGTTGTACCAGCACTGCTCACCTGGTTTAAAGCTGGTGGAAGGAGAAAGGTTTATACTGCTTGCCTCTTGCACCTCCTTTTGGTGTTTTCAGAGTTAAATGCTGCTGAACAGCACATCCTTTGCCACCCAGCCCCTCCCTCGTGGGTCTCCTCCTTGCACCAGGTCCCCAGAGCTGCCATGAGCATCAGGTCGTGCAGCTTGTCTTCCCCTGCTGTGACAGGGTGAACGACAGCAAGTTGTATGAATGTCGTGAATGAAAGTAAGTTGAATGTTGCTGAAAATGCCCTCAGCACACCAGCCTTTCCCAACACTGCAGTCAGCATTTCTCATGGCCTGTACTTTGCCCACGCAGATCTGCCTTACCTGCACTGACCTTGCACATCACCGTTCCCGATTCCTGGAAAGCCTTGGATGTTTGCCTGCTCTGTAATCTTCAGCTAACGCATTGTGGGGTGAGTTGCTTCATTGTGCAATAAAACCCCACATCGGCCAGTCCTTGTCCCATCCTCCTCCTTCATTGCCCCTCTTCCCTGTTGTCCATGCCACAGCCAACCTGAGGGAGCTGATCTGTTGGCACTGCTCTGGGAGGTCCTTCTCCTTGGACAGGCTTTAGGTTGTCCCCCATGGAGACACCTCCTGTGATGTGCTGTCAATGCTTAACACTCCCTGAAGACTGACACTGGGCTCTGAGTGGGGAAATGCAGGTTTGGGGCAGGACAATACTTGAAGTATGACTGGAAATACCAGTGATGCACAAATAGTGACGTTTAGGCTGCCATATGTTCCAGAGAAGGAATAATCCTGTTTACACTGCAAGGAGTGGGAGTTCAATTTGCCTTAAAATAGCCTCAACGTATCTAGGAAATCCATAAAAAGGACACCCTGGTATTTCTTAGGACATTATTTTCGGCAGATATGTTTATTTAATTTGCTGCCAACATCTGTCATTTCCTCCACTGTTTCCCAGCACCCACAGTCTGGGTCTGAACTGAAAGCTGACAGGACCTAACACAAAAAATTGATTGCTGCTTCCCGTTAGCATCACGGCCATCAAAGTGAAACAGGGAAATGCATCTGCTCATAGGTGATGTTACAAAATATTTGTTTTAGATTAGCTGCTCTCCCAGCCACTGTCCACGTTGGCAGTTGTGTTCCTCCACCCAACTTGGAAGGCAGCAGGAAGGTCTGCTGGAACTGCAGGGCTCTGGGTTAGGAACAAACAGTTTGAGAAGCTGAGAAGTGAAGGAGGAAGCAGAGCTAAATTTAGAACCCCCAGATAAGAAAAATACCTGTATCTTCAGTGCACTGTGGTTTTATTTTGTGAGGCACAAAACATACCTTGGTGTTGCACGGCTGTTTGCAGACTGTACTGACTCAAAGAGGGCTCATGGAAAAAGGCTTTGATGTCTTCAGTAAACAAATAGCAGTGTTAAAAGATCTTCAGTTCTCTTTAGCGTGCTGCAAACAGCTACGTTTGAAGAAAAGTAAACATCCCAAGGTTGATGGAAGGGTAGGGAAGCCATAAAGTGCTGCAGTCAACTCCTTGCTATAAGGACAACAGAAATTACAGTGCTGTGAAAAACTGTTTCTTTCTCCTTTTGGATTAAAAGGAAAAAAACAACTGTGTCAGGGTTTGCCAGCTATGTGGTGGGAATACATGAATATAAAACCCCATGGCTAAGTTATTGCATCTCAATCACAAGAAAAATACCACTTCCACTGGAAAAAAAAGGGTAGGATTCCCCTGGAGATACCTTTGTCCAACCATTAGGGTGAAGGGGGAAAAATGCACCCTTCCTCCAACTCCTGCTTTGACTCTGCTTCCTCAGTGTTTCACCTGCTGCCACAGGGCCACCAGAACCTCCAAAACCTTGCAGCTATGGGACCTCATCCCAAAAAAACCTCACCAGCTTTTATGTTGGGCAGTCAGTTTCTATGAGGAGGCACCAGGCATGTATTGTGCTCTCAGTGAGGAGGATGAGGATTTCACACCATGTGCCTACCTGAGCTTTTACTGTGTAAAGCTTGTTATACCTGCCTCATTGCATGACTTAAAACACCCCTTTGCAAATGCTAAAAAATTAGGAAAAAACCAAAGAAAAGTGCTAAAAAATTATCACAATTACACCAACACAACCCTGGGGACCCTAATTTACATTTATACACTTAATTTACACTCTTAACAATCTAAATTAGGTTCAGAAAGAGAAAGTTTGAGACTTCTCTGTGAAGGGAAATTAAAAATCAGAAGGCTATGATAATAATCAATGCACTGATATTTACTGCAAATTTAAATATTATTAAGAACCTCCAGGGAGCCTCTCACTTTACTTTCATGTTATTCTGAGCATTTATCTGTTTAAAGATAGTTCACATGAACTAGGAAATAAATAATTCAGATATAGTTGACTTTTTCATGTCTCTGTAGGATCACTAACATCTTTCCTTTGATAACACTTTTGTTTTGCTTAACAAAACTCCATTCCAAATGGGACCAGCGAGACAAAAACTCCATCCAAAGGACCAGGGCTTATAAGAAAAAAACAGGGGAGGGAGGCAAAAATTCCAGGAAAACAAAAAATCTTATAATCCCAAAGGTAATAAGTATCCCTCTGGCAACTCCATACAAGCTCTTCCCTTCATTGTGAGCCTCTCCCTGCTGGATTTGCAAGGAGAGTTTGTCACTAAAGCCAAGGCAGAAATGGCTCATAATAAACAGCAGCTCCTTAGAGACTGTAGCCATGGCATGGAGAGCTGTTTACCTGGCACCACAACCACTATTCTGTTTATCTTCAGATGTTCCTACAGAAACAGAAGGTATTACACTGTGGCAAATAAGACTTCTTCACCCCTAGGAATATGATTTTTTTTCCAAACTCACTGCCCTTCCCTTTCAGCTACAGAAAGCCCATCCTGTGATTTCTGAATTACTCCTTCCCAAGAGGACAGGCCTCTTCCCGGCGCAGAGAGAGCCAGGGCTAGCTGACAGCAGCTGGGGTGGTTGTTTCCAACCCTGACCTGCTCATCCCAGCCAGTGTGAATCCAGCCTCTGCAGGACACGGACACGTCATCCTGTGCAGAACCTTCTCCCCAGGGGCAGTTACTGTTGGTGTAATGGGGGATTTAGAGGGAATAGGCTCTAGCAGGTAGTTTGAAATCAAGTGAATCATACACTTCATGCTGTTGATGAGTTTGCTTGCCCCAAACATGAAAGATAAGGGCTCTGAGAGCTTTGTGAGTCATTGGGAGGTGGGAAGTCGCTCCGAGGATCTGTTCCTGGACACGATGAGGGACAGGCCTTTGATTTCACAGAGATTAGGGCTGAGCACCCCTCATCACTGGAGCCCTGTTTCTCCTATTCACCACAGCAAATATTTTGATTGCAAGAGCCAAAGCAATTGTGTACTTTATCATCTGCAATCCCAGATTACACTGCTGATAATCATCAAACTGATTTCAGACCCATCCTCTCCCGGCTGGATGCTGCCACCAGCCAGACTGGCACTGGGTACCACCCCAGGGCACATCCTGATTCTCCTAAAGAAGACTCTAAGGAGCCAGTTGTTCTTCAGGGTAAGTCAGCTTGAAGGGTGGTGGCTCCTTGGAATGCTGTGATGACAACATCACCTCTACATGGCAGGGAAAGCAGAGTGGCAAATTTAACAAGCAGTAATTTTACCATTAAACTCACACCTCTGAAGACTCTCAATTCACCCTGTCGGGTGGGATCCAGCACTGAGCTGATTTATGGCATAGCACAGCGGGCTGCGTGGAGAGTGTTTATTCAAAAAACATCAGCTCTCTTTACCAAACACTATTTTATTTCTAGTTTAATTAAAACACAATTAGCAAGGCTTGCAATTTTCTTAAATAAGCCTGATCTTCAATGGAATTAATATCAATCTCCGTTCAGTGTGCAAGTCAGTAAAGTGACACGTGGAAAATTACACATTCTTCACTCAGGAATGCAGCTTGGAGGATGACTTCATGCTCCTGAATGAGAGGATCAGTGTGCCAGATGCGCCTGGTGCCTGACCCCTTTACAGCTCTGAAAGATCACACGTCACTTTAAAATGTCATTTCACGCATGCAGGAGGAAGAAAGAGAGCCTGGTCGCTTCATGTTACTGAGCCTCCATTTAACTTGGTTAGGGTGGTGTGAATGTCTTAATAACATTAGGCAGAGCTCGGATCCCTGGTCTGGCTGTGTGTTTCCAATAGACACCCTGATGCCTTTCTCGTGGCCAGAGTGGTTAACAATCTGTATTTTCTTGCTATTAATTAGAAGCTGTATTTCATTCTGATGTTGAATGAGCCTCGCAGCGTAGCTGACAAGCTTACAGTCCTCATTTCCAGTCAGGCATTGAATTTTACTGAATTGTTTTGTCTGGAGACAAAAGCAGCAAATGTGAGTATAGAATTAATACCTTTTAAATTTGTGATTGTATTTCTAAGCCACAAAAATCAGATGGTAGTCAGACTTTTCCACTCTTGGCCCTTTTTTTTCTGTGATAGACTTGAATGCCCTTTCTTTTTCTTTGCCTCTCTGCTCACTCTCAAAATCCTACTGAAAAGAATCCAGATCCAGGTCTCTGTAATAAGCACGTTCCCATAGCAAATTATATAAAAGCATTTTGTACACTTGTATTTTTCCTCTCCCCCAGTGCATTCCACGCACCTACACAGTCATGCTAATTAGATCATGTAATAAACTTAAATGTGGCAAAAAATCTGTTCACGGGGTATTGCAAGACAGCTGGACTTGGAAAGCAGCCAGTCATTAATTTTGTTTTGTTTGAGAAAACCCAAAGGACATTATTTTACTGAAGATGAAGCAAACCCCATGTAATAGGAGCTGTAATCTAAGGAGACAAATTATTTTATCTAAATAGTCCGCAGTGAGCCCTGATATAAGGATTTGCTTATATGAAAAAAAACTAAAGTGTGGAAGCTTTAAAAAGCCATTAAAAATACTTAAACCTAGACTAAAAGAACTAAAGTAATGTTAAACTAAACTTGATTAGTTTAGTTAAATTTAAGTAATCAAAACTAAATGAATCTTAATCCATAATGTTAATCCATACCTAGAGAGGAGCTAAGTAGCAAGAACTTAACTGTGAGCCTCAAGTCTTTTAAACGAAAAGAAGTGTCTACGTGGGATATGGTGAGAGATTAAATATGCACCCAATCAATTTTTCCAAAGATGGTCTATATTACTGTGCATAATACAGTAATCCCTGCATTTTTGTGGAAATACAGGAGCCTGAAAAGAGGGCCTACTCTGACATACCACTTAGTGTGGCAACCTTACACTTGCACGTTGATTTCTAGGGAAAAGAATAACTTTGAGCCAGTTTGACAGCAGTGTTTAACTGGTCCTGGGGTTTATGATACAGCTGGTAATGGGATCAGCTCTCAGGAAAATATCACTTCCTTAATTTTAGCTCAGATGCTATAAGTTTTGGCCACTGAATTGCATTTAAACCTGTAGATCTATTGACCTGATGCTTAAATAGAACCCCAGTAATTCTCCACAGGATCCAGGCAGGCTGGGAGCATTCCCAGATGACTGCACTTCTGCAATGCTAACACAAGCAGTGACACGGAGCATGAAGGACTGACACGTTATGGAACACAGGGGAGAAGGAGCTGAGGCTGTGGTTGTGGTGTGGTGGTCCAGGAAATGCCTGATTCCATCAAAATGCCGTTAACGAAGCATGTGATAACTTCCAGCTATATTCCTGATCAACACTAGATGTTGCTGTGCTGCTACTCATATAAGCTATACATTAGCGAGGCTTTTAAACGGTATTTACTGCAATTTCCTCTTTCCTGTTTCTGTTAGACACTATATCCTGACACTATATGGCTGGGGGAGCTGCTACTTTAATTTACTTTTCCTTTGAAGCTTCAGTTTTATTTGTATAATAGCAAGTTTATAACCCTCTCAAATGTACATGTAAAACTTTACAAGCAAAAGAGACTCTTACAAGTAATAACATGAAGCAACTCCTATATGAATGCCAAATATTTACTTAAACTCTGCTTCTGGATTTTTTGCAATCCAAGGGGAATGACATTGTTAACCGGATGATTCCGGGAACAGACTGACAGCTGCAAGGCCACGGAGGGAAGTTTGTTTATAAGGGGACAAAAAAAAATTAAAAAAATGTTTAGTGCTGCTGGGTTTCAGGCTTTTTACTCCCACGTGTTTGAGTGGGAGAAAGGACAAATCTTAGGACGTTGATTTCCCCATGGCAACAGAAAACGGAAATTACTTTAACCCCATCTAGTGACAGATGACTCATTGCTCAGCCTGCTGCTATTTTCCAAGCACTAAAACAATACAGCTGCAAAGAAAAGGCCAGTCTGTATTATCTCATAGGCTGAGCACCAGGCTCATGGGAGAGGGCAGTTCTCTGGCTGCCTTTGCATCAAAAAAAGACAGAGCTGGAGCCTTTTGGTTACTCTTTTATCGTGTAAGGCAAACGTGCCCATGTGTTCTCCATCCCTGCGCTGCTGGAATGCAAACCTGGGGCATCCCTGGGATGCAGGTGATGCAGCATGGGGTGAGCTGCTGGTGGGTGTCCCACTGCTTGGTCCTGCTTGCTCTGATTATCATGGAATGGTTTGGGTTGGAAGGGATCTTAAAGATCATCTATTTCCAACCACTCCTGCCATGGGCAGGGACACCTTCCACTATCCCAGGTTGCTCCAAGCCCCATCCAACCTGGCCTTGGACACTTGCAGGGATGGAGCAGCCACAGTTTCTCTGGGCACCCTGTGCCAGGGCCTCACCACCCTCACCGAAAAGAATCTTTTCCTAACATCTAATCTATATCTCTTCTCTTTCAGTTTAAAACTGTTCCCCCTTTTCCTATCTTGCATCCAGGGATCCAATGGGACATTGCCATGCTTTCAGTTTAAACATTCCCCCTTGCCATGAATTCCATGCAATGAACTGTGCATGCAATACAGGAACTACTCGTTCCCAAATGCAGCTGGATCAGGATAGCAGGTATGAGTAGGGTTTCCAGGCCCCTACATGTGAAAAAGATATCTGATGGCAGAAATGCATTGCCATATTGCTGGGAAAGTCATAACAAATTCCCACAGGCAAAGCTGAAGTAGAAATATTTGTCTGTGAAAGATTACTATCCTGGGTGAAAGGTTGGAACTAGATTATCTTTGAGGTCCCTCCCAACCCAAAACATTCTAGCATTCTATGAAAAGGTCATTAGGGAGAGTGGTTTCTGAACAAAGATGATAGAACCATTATCTCTTGGAGGCCTTAAACCCAGATGAGGTGTTGCTCTGAAAGACAAGCCTCAGTCCAAGCTGTAGGATGAAGTAAGGAGGGCAGCCTTAGCAGCCCTATCTGTCTTCTTGCACCTTAGACCCCCTGCAGCAGAGCTGCACAGAGCCACCAGCTCACCTGAGGAGCATCTCTGTTGGATGACAACTCTTGCTCAGCACCTTCTGGACATGGTAGTGAAGAGCTGGTTTGGAGAGGAGGTAATTCAAGCTTGAGGATCA